AAGGTAATGGTTCCTACTTCTACCGTAACTACCAAAAGGAAATCAATTCCTACTCTTTCTCGACTACCAAAACAATTACCAAAGAATAACTACCAAAAAAACACAGCTCCTATCTTTACGCAATTACAGCCCAAATATATGCACAAAATATACACACAATATTCTGCAATCTCCAATAACTCCATTTCCAAGCACAACTTTATTAATGATTTTGCGGTTTATTGTACTTGCTCCAACACTAAATAACCAGGGTTCAGTACTTATGACATATCCAGATCCAACTGTTCCATGATTTCCCGCTGCCTGTACTGTAAGTATTCCTTTCTCTGCTACATGAAAAGAGCCAATTGCTACAGGATCTTTTCCCAACGGCGTTGGTTCAATTGATCCTAGTGAAATTGTAATAATGTCAACTCCATCAGCAATAGCATCATCAGAGCTAGCCAACATATCTTCAGATTTGCAGTCTGAATCATCACAAACATTGTATACAGCAATCCGTGCTGAAGGGACTCCCCCTCGTGCAACTCCTTGTGCAATTCCATAAAAGCTTACATTTTGAACAATATTTCCAGCAGCTATTGAGGCAGTATGAGTCCCATGGCCATGTAAATCTCTTGGAGAATCAACTGAACCGTAGTACCGAGCTCCAATAAGTTTACTGTCAAGCAAACACAAGGGTTAGTAAATATCAAGATACAATTAATAAGTACCAATTTTGCACTTTTTAATAAATGAATAATGAGCAATTGGAAAGCTTACTTGTTACATGCAAAGTTCTTGCCTCCGACATAACAACCCCCTTTCCACTTTTTGGGAATAGCACCAAAGCCATAATCATCAAAACTTTTTGATTCTGGCCAAATCCCAGTATCAACAACTCCAATGATTATATCACCTTCAACGCTAAGATTTCGATGAACATTTTAAGGAAATCCCATAAAGTCCCACGATGCAGTAGTTTGGAGTTTTAAAGTTGTACTTGGAATTACCCACACCACACCATTGTGAGCTGCATAATTTGCAGAAAAGGACTTATATATTGGCATTTACAATTAAAATAATGCCTAATACATAGAAAACCATATTGTGATGAAATAGCCATATTATACTTACTTACCATTTTTTGTTGTTCTTTGTATGTGAGATTTGCCACAAATCCTTTAAAACTTCTCTTGTAGCTCCTAATAAGGTGTTCTCTTGGATTACTTTCACTAATTAAAGAGTAAAAGGACAGATGAAAAGAATAAGAAGGTGCAAAGATTATATGAACAATTAATTTTAAGGTCTTGAATATATGTTTTTACCTGCTATCATCACTTCTTGCAAAATCCTGATATGGTGCCTTCTAGGTGAATAATTTCCTGGAGGGACACTTCCCAATGTACCATATAAACCTGCTAGCAGAAGAACATTGGTGAAAGGCAACGAGTGAGATTTTAGCTAATCTTTCAAGGCAATATAAACAAATTTATATTGTGGTTGCAAACTTGTCAGATGGATGCACAAAATTCTTATCTGCATAGTCGTTGGATGCTCAAACTCCTGGCTTCTTGGAAGTAAATATGAAGTTGTTCGTTCAAAAATATCAAGAAAAGCGGTCAAAGCTTGAAAACAAAAAATCAATACAAAACATTTTAGTCACTAGAAAAGGAATTCTTGATCGAATAACCAGGCACAAGCAACTAAAATACTCAATATTTGCGTTTGGAAGCAAAATCAAAGGTGAAAGCTAATCCATTTGTTTACCCAAAAAATTACTAGATCAAGGCTCAGTGATTCAACTCTTGTGGTTGGACCACAATTGACCTGTAAAGTTACAGATATCATACACTAATTTTTTTTAAAACGTCTTTTTATTCATATATGGATAAAAAACATACAGAAATTTCCTTCTACATATGTTTAATTTTCCGAATTGAAGGTATTCCTATTCTGTCTAGACGTATTGCCCCACAGGCCAGTCTTGGGAACGTAGAAAATGTGTCATATAACCTGACTTGTTGCTGTGGATGAGATACCCCCTCATTGGACAACGCATCAGTAACTGTGTTAGCCTCCCGATAACAATGTGATAAACAAGTCGGGTCCTCCAAAAAATGCCGAATCTGCCTGACCTCCCTTGTAATCTGCCATGGACACTGAATTTGACGATGAATAATTCGAACTAAGGCCAATGAGCCCGATTGTATACATATATTCCCAAACCCCCTTTGTATACACATTTGAAGACCAATGAGAAATGCCCGAACCTCTGCATGGAGACTTGTAGGTTGTCCAAAATAGGCCGAAAAACCAAAGAGTGGTAATCTCGTTGAATCCCTTAGAACACCACCACCTCCACCCAGTCCTGGATTACCCTTAGAACAACCATCTGTATTTAGTATGAATCGCCCTGGCTCCTTTGACTCCCAGTGAATAGCTTTGAAGGCAACCCTTCCAACAGTAAAATTCGGCGAATCATACAATTGTCGGAAGGACTGTGATCGGATTGCTTGTTTGAAATGAATCCCTACCATGGACTGAATTTCCAAGAAAATTGCTTGGCAAATTGCAGATGGTCTCATTTGAGCACCTTCGAACATTGCTTTGTTTCTTGCCTTCCAAATTTGCCAACAAATAATAGTAGGAATAATTCGGCCCATAATCCGCCGTAACTCAGAATCATACGACCTCAACCACCACCCTACTATTCGAGAGCGCAAAGAAGTTCCTGGGCTTAATCCACATAATCCTCCAAAATAACTCCAAACTACCGACGTTGTGTGGCCGTTGGAGAATAAATGCTCAATAGACTCCTCGGATGCTGAAGGACAACAGAAACACTTGGACGGTAAATGAAAACCAAGTTCACATAGCCTATCTAGTATCGGTATCCTCCCTCGCAACAATCTGAACATGAAAAATGAAACTTTGAAAGGGATACGAGGATGCCAAATCGATGCAAAAACCATCGACTTGATTCGGGTCTGCCTAATATCTTGAAGAGCTGAATGTATGGAAAATTTTCCAGATGTTGTAGGCATCCAAAAGACTTCCACTTCACTCCCTTCTTCCAGAATGGGTTGTTGTAAAATGTAGGACACATACTCCTTTGGTATTGTGTGACATAAGAGGCTCACATCCCAGTGACCATTGTTTATGAAATTATGAAATGACAACTCTAGGTTAACCGGCACTTGTAAGAACAAAGCACCACATCCTAGCCAGTTATCATACCAAAAGTGACACGCCCCCTCTTTTGCAACCCATAACATAGAAAGCTCCACTTGTCGGCTCACATTTACCATCCTCCGCCATATTGAGGAGTCCTTATTTTTGAGTTCTACCTGACAAGGATGAAGACCTCTGCAGTACTTTGCTTTCATGAATGTCTCCCACAGCAACGATCTTGTTCGGAAATTCCACCATAGCTTGGAAGAAAATGCTGTGTATACGTCCTGTAGTCTCCGGAAACCAACTCCGCCCTCATCAACCGGATAACATAGTTGAGACCATCTTATCCAGTGAAACTTTGTTTCGTTGGGTGATGATCCCTAAAGGAAGGATGAGCAGGTTTTTTCAATAATTTTAAACACCTTACCCGGGATCACAGATACTGACATTAGATGCACTGGCATTGATTCCAAGACATGCTTGATTAGAACTATCTTGCCTCCAAAGGAAAGTAACCTTGATTTCCATGACTGAATCCTCCCTATAATAGACTGGCACACTTCTCCAAAATATGATGATTTACATCTTCCAAAGTAGAGCGGAAACCCTAAATAACATATCGGAAAAGGCTTCCAGGCAAACTTTGTGATACAATGAATCACCCTTCGTCTCGCCATCGACATCATTGGATGGACGAAGTAACAACTTTTTTGCACATTAATAAGTTGTCTCGAACATCTTTGATACGCCTCTAACACCTGCATGATCGCCCTTAAAGACAAGGCGGATCCGTTTGCAAATATGAGAATATCATCCGCAAACGCCAAGTGAGTTATATCTGGACAACCATATGGAACTTTGAAGCCCAGAAAGCCCGATTGCAGTGCAAGGTTGTTCAATCCTCTAGACAATACTTCAACTCCGATAATGAATAGCGCAGGTGATAATGGGTCACCCTGACGAAGCTCTCTCAAGGACTTAAAGAAACCATGTGAAGACTCATTAATAATAATTGAAAACCAGACATTAGAAAGCAAGCGTCATACCATATCAATAAATATTTCCCCAAAACCAAAACTTCTCAGGACATTGATGATATGACCCCAAGCGACCCGGTCATATGCCTTAGATATGTCTAGCTTCATAGCCACATTACCACCTCTATTCCTTTTTCCAATACCCGAAACCACCTCCTGAGCCAGTAGAAAATTTTTCGTTATATTACGACCCTTCACAAAGCCTGTTTGCTGGGGGGAAATTATTTTTGGCAATATACTAGCCAGTCTATCCGCCAAGATCCGGGAAAGCAACTTATTAAAAAAGTTACATAGACTGATTGGTCTGAAATGAGAAAATTTCTGAGGATTTGTCATCTTTGGAATTAGTACAATCGAGGTAGAAGTGATAAACCGAGGTAACTCCGCCCCACAGAAAAAACTGAGTATTGCATTATGAATATCTTGTTTGATCACTTCCCACGCAAATATAGAAAATTTTCCTGTGAAACCATCCGGGCCAGCAGCACTTTCCTCATCCATTGATTTTACTACTTGATATACCTCCTCGATCGTAGGCAGTGACTCCAGCTTTCCATTGTCCTCTAGAGAAATCATACGCGGAATTAGGTGCAACATATCGGAAAATGAATCCAAAGGAGCCGTGAAAAGATCATTAAAATATGATATTGCTTCACTTGCTATGTCCTCATCCTTGTCCATCCAAACTCCATTGGAATTTTTGATGCAATGTATCATTCCTTGAACACGTCTTTGCTTTACCACCGCATGAAAATACCGTAAATTTCTATCTCCCTCTTTAAGCCATTTGACTCTAGCCTTTTGCCTTCAAAACTGCTCTTCAATTGACAGTGCATGATGGAGCTTCGCTTCAGCCTTATTTAACTCAATCTGGCATTCGTCTGAGTCATCTTGATCTACCATCTCCTCTGCTCGTTGTACCGCAATTTCCGTAAAACGCACAGTGTCCATGATGTTACCAAAGTATTGCTTGTCCCATGATTGAATAGCCCTTCTCGTTGTCAATAATTTAGAGCATAAGATTCGCAATGGAGATCTATCAACATTTTGATTCCAAGCTTGGCGAATCACCTCTAAGAGTTCAGGTTTGGATGTCCAAACATTCAAAAAACGGAAAGGACGTGGCTTATTATCCAACCTAGTTGCAAATGAAATCTTCAACGGAGCATGATCCGAAGGGTGTCTTGTCAAATGGAGTACAGAAATGGCGTCAGAGAGTTCCAAACAAGCCCCATTGACTAAAAATCTGTCCAATCTTTTTGAAATCCGAGCTCTACTCCTCTGATTATTAGACCACGTGAAACTTGATCCTAAAAACCCTACATCAAAAACCCCAGCCTCCTCCATGAAAGACATGAAATCAGCTCCTTCCGCTATAGTAAATGGACGTCATCCACGTTTTTCGTGAGGTGCCAAAATGACGTTAAAGTCCCCCCCCCAATACACCAAGGATGTAATGTAGGTTTATCATTTAACAATGAACACCATAATTCTCGACGCTCCTCCACCGAACACTTTGCATGAACAAAGAACATGATAATTGGACTAGGAAGCAACGAGTTTTGAACATGTAGAGATATATGCTGGTCTGAACTACCAACAGTGGAACAAACGAAAGGACTACTATAGAAAACCCAAATATCACTCGAGCAATTAACAAAGACATAATCAAATGATAATCCAAGACGAATGGACTCAATTTTTGACACATCTACTTTTGGTTCACATATCACAACAAAATGAACTTGATGAAGCCGTACTAGTTTAATCAATCTTCTTAGATTAGGAACCTTTGCAATCTCTCTAATATTCCAAAATATTCCATTAATCATGAGAAAGAGCATGGTGAGTTTTTGGATGATGTCTCTGACCTTAAATTGTCTGTCGGATGGAAATCGAGCACGAACACCCTTTCCTCGCATTTGTCAGAACTCATGGTCATCCCTTTGTGATTGATCAATATTTAAAGCGTCGCTTGATGATTCCAGCAGATGCTGAGGTAGGAGAACCAATCTTGGAGACAAATTGCCCGCAACTGCATTGTCTGTGGAAACAAAATCATCCTCAGCCCCACGTAAGTCAACATAGATATTGTCCAATGCATTACTTTCGGCCATGTGATGATGTTCAACTATCAATGAGTTGTCTGCTGAAAGATGGGTCCCTTGTTTCTCATTTGCTTGTTGCTTATCCAGCTGGTCACTCATTATTGTTTGTTCCTCATGATGTGCATTCGATGAACCCTCCATTTTGCGAAAGTGCTTGGATAGCAATGTTGTCGGTTTCATCTCCCATAGCAGCAACTTGTCCTTCAGCAAAAATTGAACTTGGTTTGCTTATGAATGAGTCTTTAGGAACTGATGCGTCATCTTCCTCTTCAATCATAATAGGACCAGCGTCCTCCTTCATTGGATTTTTTTTCTGCCTTCCTTCATCTCCTTCAGCCAACAGTGGATTGAGCTGGTCGTCATTATGAACTATTTTATCTCCTTCCTCGGCCATCATATCAGAACCAGCAGCTTCCTCTACTGCAATCTGTTGTTTTCCTCCTTCATGAATCATATCTGTAATTCGCACATCCTGAGATTCATTCACAACAGCTTTTTTACGGACAGTTTCAGGGTGGGACAACTGAACGTTATTCCCTTGTAAATTTAATCCTTGCTGCTGATGATGTTGCCGCATTCCATCCTCAATCAAATTCTTTTTGCACTCCACTTGAGAATGACCCAATCGAAAGCAAGATGAACAATAAGTTGGCATGTTCTCTGGAACAATTCATTGCCAAAAACCAGATTCCCCTTCTACAGCAACCCAGACCCTAGACACGATGATTTTCGCTATATCGATCTCAACACACACTCTGGCCACACTAGGACGTGTTCCAACAGCCGTTGCCGAATCCAAGAACATGGGTCTTCCTACTGGTGACAATATGGAGAACAAAGAATGTTTATCAAAATAATGAATAGGGAGAGCCAGAAGAGTTACCCAAACCGGTACCAAAGAAGACTCCCTATGCACATGGAAATCCCTGGTCCATCTGAATACACGCATTGGATATTTGCTCAATTGCCAAACTCCTCTCGCCCAAATTCTGTTAAAGTCTGCTTCAGCAATGCATTTAATAAGAACATGCCTGTAATCCATCAATCCAATGGAAACTTGGTCTTTCAGGTTTAATGAAGCAAAAAACTTTCGAATAGTTTCCAATGAAGGTCGCCCGTGAGAGAATTTTCCAACCAAAGCCAATCGAAAAGGTGCCGCAAGTCTGTCCGCGTCTGCTTTTGAAAAAACAACAGCAGCTTCTCCCTTGTAAACTGATGCCTGCGTGATCTGGATTGTAGATACCGCCGGTTGTGTAAAGAGTTGAGAAAAAGATTTTTTTTCCTGTAGGAGACATCCCTTCGGCTGAAGGGCAGCCATGAATCCTTACTTCACTAATTTTAATTGTTAAATAAGTAAGCAATTAAATTACTTTTAGAAACTCTCCTCTTGTGTTTAAAAGGAAATCTACATTAATCACCAATCAATAACACAAGTAGTCCTTAATAATTAAACAAAACATTTTTCTAAAAATAGAATATCATTTTAAGACTATTAAATATAAGAACCATTTTTTTGGTCAAGTTAAATCATGTTGTAAAAGAAAAATGACATAAATAAAATAAATTTGTAAAAGAAGAAGCAAAAAAAAAATTTACTTTAAAAGACAAAAAAATGCCACAACACAATAGTAGTAATACATATCTGGGGAGGGAAAAAAGAGACGGAGTATCTTATCTATAATTTGTAGAAAATTAATGAAGATAGAGTTAGAAAAAGAGGAGTAATGAAGATAAAAATGTGGATTCTTGTTGTCTAATTGGTTGGAACAAATGTTCATTGAAACAAGTGAAAAGAAATGAAGAATTAATCGTTGATGATTGCCTTAACTGCATCAAATTGGACAGATCACCAAGAATCAGTCCAAGGGAGTTGGGCAACATTTGTTCCCAATTGTTTCTGTTTTCACTTAAATTGAATGGCTTTTGCATCCCTACCCCTAAGTTATAGGTTTGACTATTTCATTCTATTCCAATTTTGAAAACAAAACATATGAATGGTTAATTTGGTGTCATCACAAAATAGGTTTTCTACATGTTTATTTAGTGTATATCTGTGAAATTGGAAGTTAATAGTTTTATATCTTGAAAAAAACCTAAAGATTGAAAATATTTAACGAATAACAACAAAAAAAAAAAATTAATGTAGAACGATGACTTACCTTCCTTTCTTCACGAGTGACATTAGCACTTCCACTCCAATCACCTAAACTAGTGAGCAAGAAAATGTAGGAACACCAAAAGGAGTAGGATCTAACCATTGTTGAATCAAGAAAAATTGCATATATGTTCTGATCCTTTTGCTTGGCGCAACCTCTACTTACACAGAATAAAGGGCACTTACTTTTTTCCCCTCAAATTGAGGACTTGTTTTTGGTAAGTATTGATATTTCAACAACGTTCTTAAATGCAAGAGGCTTTGCAAATGTCATATAAGTAAATTAAACACTTAACCAATACAGTTACATAGAGATGTAAGTCATGAATATGTGAGCTCATTTCGACCAGTGCATTTTGGTTAACCTTGCAGGTAGTCCCTAAAGTCTTTGTTCAGCGTTATTTTGGCCTCTCAGTTTTTAGAATGAACCTAGTAACGCATTTTAAAGACCGTAATTTGATCACTTGAGTTCCATTTGATCCCCACTCTGCCAAGTTTAAAGTGTTAGTGACATGGAAGTGACCCAATATTATGTGCATATTACATTAACAAACTCTACTGTAATTTTATTGAAAATCAAAGTTGGAAAAAAAAAAGGAGTAATTACAATTCGATACCTCCATTTTTTGGGGTAAACCTACACTAACACAGTTAGATTTGGAAGAAGTTATTATGCATATTGGCTTCAGAAACTAATTAAACAAGTTTATTAAAAAAACATATAGTATTAAGGAAGGTCCTTTTTTTTTTAATCTTTATAAGAAGTCCTTTATCAATTATAGCCACGATTATAATATTAGTGTGAGAACTTTTCATTTTCTTATTCGAATATTTTGCTAGAATTTCCTTCAGTTAGTCAATTTTCTGTTTTCCTACTATAGTTGATAATCTACCTAGGAAAGCTCCGTAGTTGAAATTTGGTATTCATTTGTCTTGGGGGTTAATAAACAAGGACACTCCAACATCCAAATTAGTTTTTGATAGTACAACTCCTAACAAATCCAAAACCCAGGAAAATTATTTGGTACTATATTTCAACTCATTAAATAACGTAAAATTAGTTTGCAATCTATTGATGATCAAATACTAGTTATCTATTATGAATTGTCAAACTTAACAATCTAAAAGTGAAATCAAGTCGCTTAAGCGACTTGACCACCACAAGGCATTTAAGTGCCTTTGCAGGTGGGAGGTTAAGGGTTCAATCCTTGTCTCTTATAATTGAACTGGAGATCGAACATAAGTTGCACGACAGGATCTTGATTGGGTTTTGAGTTTGGCTTTGAGCCAAAATTTAAGTGGAGCTTGGCTCAATCAAGGCCAAGACTTGCTGGTACTCCCCGAGTAACACTTGGACACGAAACTGCAATGTGGGACTACAATTACTTTCTGGGGAGAGTAAGATTTCAGCCTTCAATTTTCATTACAGTATATTCCTTCATTATTTTTTTCTTGTTGAAATCATGCACTCTCATTTCATTCACGCCTTCTGGGCTCTCGTCGTGCTAATCATAATCGATACGACACAACTTTGTTCACGATGCTTTTTAGAAGAATGTATTGCCCTGAATACATACTTTTAAGTTTGAGCTATTAGAGATATCAATTTGAGCCTTTAAGTTAGACTCATTGCTCTATACAGACATGCTGGTGGATTTGAAGAAAAAGTCAAGTCAATCTCTACTCCATAAACATAAAGACTAAAGTGGGCGACCCCATTATGGTAGGAACGCCTTTATCGTTCCCACCGTCGGTAGTGGCAACTGGCAAGACGGCTCGACAAGTGTGGATTTCATAAATGCAGGGTACCCACGGCTGAAATTCAAGATGGGAGGGGGATGCACATGAATAATGTAAATGCACGGAAGCTGTCAGGGAAGAGGAAAAAGTGAATAAAACATGCACGAGGTGAGTGATGGACTAGGGTAGAAAATACTAATGAACTAGTTTTTCTATTATTTATATTTTTTTAACGAAAATTGTTATAAAAGAACTTGAAATGCTATTTTATAAAATTGAAAGGGTACAAAATTATGGGATAAGAATCAAATATTTAAAGTCATAAATTATAAAAACATATATAA